GTGATGGGGAGGAGGGCAAAGGTCCCTCACTGCATGGAGGCAGCTTTCTGAGTGGGGAATCCTCAAACATAAAGAGATTTTGCAATATTTGAAGGAAATGATCACATCTGGAGTCTTGGTAGTGCTTCAGATTATAGCTGAAGAGCATTAGGAGTACAAATCCGTACAGGAAAGTTCATCAGCTTTTAGTGATGGGTTTAAACCAACAAAATAAAACCTGCAGAATAACCAAAACAGGATTTTTTTAGATTAAAAATGTCATTGCTCCCATTAAGTGTGAACTTGAGGTTTATATGGAAAATACAGTGTATTTTCTGCACATGGAAGGGGTGTTAATGTTGAATCATGTCCAACTGACATGACGATGTGTGCATGCACGGTATTGCCCTTTGGAATAGGTGTTGGTGCACCCATGGATCCATCGATACTCACACTCTTGTACCGTGTGTACATACAGCAGGAGCAGATCTGCTATATGACTTTGGATCAGGATGGATGTGTTTAATGATGTCTCTGGCTGTGAGACCTCCCGAGCCTGTGTCTTTCTGTCCATGTGTCCATGTTGAGCTATTCCTGTTCGTGCTCTCCATGGACAAAGACGTCTTCGGTTCAGGAGTGCAGCAGCCTGCAAAGTGCGAATAATTTTCAGCGAGGAGTTACACTAAGTGGGAAAGCTTTTAGCACATTATCCACTGGCAATTGGACTATAATCTAATTGCCAGCCCTCGGGTCTTAATAGAGCCTTTCTCTTCCCACCATTGGATTTGCATCTGGGAGATGCCTAATGGGTTTAAAACGCCTCGCTTTTTTGTCCCAGTAAGCTGCCTTCTCGGCATAGGTGACATTGAGATGGTTTTGTTGGGAAATTGGATCTGGGGTACCTGGGCTTCTCCTTTACCTGCGGGAAGAGCGCGGGAAGGGGGATGGAGCTACCCCGCCGCAGGAATAGCGCTGGGAACGGGGCTTGCTCCGAAGCCGGGGACCAAAGGGAGGGTGAAGCCGGCGGAGAGAGCTATGGAATTATGTGCAGCAGAGGAGTGGAAAGGGAAAAAGAGCCTGAAAGTAGAACCGATAATCGTGTAGGGTTGCAATGAGCGGAGCCGGGGAGCCCTGTGGGCTTCGCTTTGCAGAGTGGCTATGTGCTCGCAAGACATGAACGGGCGCTCTGCAGAGGCTGACCGAGGGACTAAAACCGATTCTTTCGGACAAGCGGGTTTCAGCTACTGGGAGGGATTAAAAATATAAAGAAAGATAGAAAAAGCATCAGGAAAAGATTTAACTCCTCCCCTCCCGAGGCGGGAATGCCGTCAAGGCAAAAGCAGCCCCGCAAGTTGTCCCGCGGTGCGGGATGAAGGCTCGGGCACCGGCTCCTGGTAGCACTGGGCCGGGAGCAATCAAGGCAGGAAGGCAACGGTGAGGGGCCGGCATCGGCATCCTCACCCTCGGGCTCCTAATTAAAGCGGGGGGCGCCTCGCCCTCTGCACAGGCGATGGCTCCAGAGGAGAGATGTGGGAGTAAGGGAGGAAGACGGAAACAGCATATAGATATAGACATGTATTTCTATATATATAAAAGAGCTGTGGCCCCTCCATCACTACGCGAAACTGGCTTAAAATCTGCGCGTGATCTCCGCGCGCTTTGCGCCCTTTTTTTCCGCAGGCAGAAGCGCTGTGCGGCCGCGCAAAAGACAGCACCCTGTGAGCTCCTGTCACCCAAGAAAAGGCTCACCTGAAATCATCGGCGGAAGGGCAAGCTTTCAGGCGGGTTTCAGCAGGTTTCTGTCCCTCGTGTCTCCTTCCTGCCGTGGTTTGGGCCGGGAGGAAGTGGCGTCCATAGTTTTCACGGGATTAGGATATTCCCGTTGCTTGTCAGCGGGCAGAGAGACGTTTTGGAAAGGGGCTAGAGGCTCCCTGTTTGAAACCTGACGGTGAAACCGAGATTTAATCCTGATTAAAGCTGGTAAAGGAACGAGCTCAACGGGGCGTGCGGCACTTCTCCTCAGCTGTGCCCCGCACGCTGCTTTTTGGACAGCGAGGAGCTTTTCACGCAGAGGAGGGTGGAAAAAAACCGGTATTTTGAAAGGATAATTAAGCCTAATGACATGGCTCTGCCCTACCAGATGGACACTAGAGACAAATACACAGATTTGCTAGACAGAATACAAACTGCTGTGTGGATGGCGTGTTCTTTATATACGGATAAAGAAATAACGAAGGATTTTATAGGAACGGGTTCATCCAAGGCAAACGCCCTGCTCGGGGCCAGCAGGGCTTGTAACTCTGCTCTCGGGAGCAGGCTGGATGCAGCGGTGACAGCCACCATCTCGGCGGGGACCGGCTGCTGCGGCTCCATCCCCTGGGAAGGGCCCGCAGGGGTTTATTAATTACGTTAATTAATGGGAAAGCAGAGAGGGATCAAGAGCATTGGGGTCCCCAGTCTCTGGAAGCCCCCACCCCCGTCCCCGGAGTGGCGGCCCAGGGCAGCCGGCGTCTCTTCCCTTTCCCACCCGGGGTCCGCAGGCGGCAGGGGACGGAGCCGCACCGAGGATTAGGCTGTCGGAGCCGAGCCCCGTTCATTGCACGTGGGGCTGGGGAAGGGGTGCTCTGGATGTCTAGACAAGGCTCTTTTGCTTATCGGAGGCTGAGCGAGGGGGAAACTAAGAAAATAAAAGATTCTCGTGGGATAGAGAGAAAAATTGCACGGCTCTGATGAGTAAAGAAGAGCCATCCTATGGTGGCGGACCCCGTACAAAATGAAATTATTAAAATAAAATAAAATAAAACAAAATAATAAAGCTCCTGGTTTCCGTCCACCCCGGGTTTTCGATTTCTGAGGTACGAGGTTGGACCCGCAAGCTCCTAAAGCCGGTCCCTTCGCAGGACAGCAGCCCCCTGCCCCTGTCTCAACTCGCCCGCTGAGCCGCTCCCCCCACTTCCCGCTTGCCCCCGCAAGGGTCAGGTCCGGGTCCGGGTCCAGGTCCTTCTTCCCGGGCTGCAGGCAGCGCACGTCCACCCCATGGGGCTGGAAATCCAGCGACGAGGCACAGCAGAAAAGGCTCCGATCCTGCACGTCGGTATTTTCCAGCCAGGAGCAGTCAGCACCGACATATTCACCCCTCCCCTGAGCCCCGACGGGCCGCGGGCAGCCCCTGCCAGGGACAGGTATGTTACCACCTGGCTGCTGGGGACGGAGAGAAGCAAGGGGAAAAGGGAGAGTTCTGGTGGGTTGTGTGGTTTGGGGTTTTTTGGTTTGTTTGTTTAGGTGTTTTTTTTTTTTTCTGGATCCGCGCTGTTTCTTTGACGGAATCTTGGCTTTTTTATCTATGTTTGCGAGGTGCATAGAGGAGGTAGGAGACCAAAGGGGACTGAGGCATCCCCCACCACCACCGTAACGGTGAAGAGAATTCCTCAGGCTATTCGCACCCCTCCCTTGTCTTTCTTTTCAGGCAGGCCGGACCCTGCTTTCCAGGTAGGGCCAAGCAAGCGTAGGGCCGGGACCCCCCAGGAGCAGGGAACCCGGGCTGTAAAAAAGAAGGGATGTCCCTCGGAGTGAAGCGGAAAAGTGTTCCTGGAGCTGTTTGTTTGTTTGTTTTCTTCGGGTTGATGGCGGGACAGTCGTTCTGCTCCGGTTTCGCTGTGGTCAGCGATGCTCCGGGGGTTGACCTGGCTGCTGCAGCGGGGGCTGGAGGGGTTCCTCCACTGTTCATGCCTTAGGTGGGACCGGGCCCCCAGACCTCACTGTGGGCCACACTGAAATCCTCAGCCCTCTGCCAAAAGCGTCAGGAGCTCCTGAATACCCTGTTTGTGATAGAATATCTATATATTTATTCTATGTTTTCTATTCTATGTAATCTATATATTAGCGAATTCCGTTAATAAATGGCAAACCGCCGCTGGTTCTCCCTCATTTCAAAGCGATAAGGCACTATTTCACGTTGCCCCCTTCACTGGCTGTAAGGGGGTGACCCGAATAATTGTTTCCCCGTATTCATTAATCAAATAAATTCAGCAGGAATAGGAGGCGCACAGATCTATCTATCCCTGGCCGAGGCTAGTCCTTGTGTCTCTTGGCACAAGCCTGAGTATTAAATTTAGGTTCTAGGATTAGAAGTTGGAAATTTACTGAACAAATTTGCGTGTCTTCTTGAGTCATTTTAGCTAGCAAGTATTTTTAGTCCTCTTTTTATTTAAAGGACTTTAGTTAAATTACTCGCATTTTTATTTATTATTAAAGGAAAGATGCTTACATGATATGTTTACTAGAGTCCTGGCGAGCAACTTACTTAAATCACTGCCTCGGAATAATCTGCTTGTTGGCACCATCAGCCCGTCCTGGGTTTCTTCTCTGTCTTATGTACTTGATCGATACCATTTACTTTGGTGGCGCCGATATGAAACGGGGTTGCAGAGAAGAGGGCAATCTGGGACGGCAAGGGTCTGGCCGGGGCAAGTAGAGCTGTTTGGGATGACAATATTTGGCTTCCAGGTGCGGGAAAACCAAGTGTACGATCAGCCTTAGGGAACCTTCTGTCGCAAAAGGCAGAAAGCGACTAAAAAGGATGCTTTAAGAGTTGCGGTCTTTTACAATTTCTACAAAAAGTAGAAAATTGACACACACCTGAGTGCGTAAAATAAATTAAAATAAAATAAAGTAAAATTTTAAAGAAAAATGGAAAATATACCCCAAACCAATCTCTTCCTCCTCTCAACCATCTCTCTACTGATTCTTGTGTCGACAAAGTGCATAGCCTAGGGACCTTCTCGGAGCATCCCCGGCCGGCATTCCCCCCCTTAGAGGACTCCTAGGAGAGGGGAGCTCACTCAGAGCGGCAGCCCGGGGGCGGCTCGGTGAGCAGCGGGACTGGGTTGCCCGAGGGCGGAGCGGCGGCGGGGGTCGGCCACCCCCTGCCCTCCCCGCGGGCGGGCACAGCCCTCTACTCCTCTTCTTCCTCCTTATTTTCCTCCTCTTCCTCCGCCCTCCTCCTCCCCCCTCCGCGGCCGGGCCGGGGCCCTTGACGTGTCCCGCCGCCGATTGGCCGCCGGCCGATAGGATCTCCGCGGCCCCGCGTTAAGGCGGGGGAGCGCGCAGCGCTAGGCGCAGAGCGTTTCCTTTCCGCCCGGTATCCCGGCTCCGCTGCCCCCGGTACTCCGTCCCGCCTGTCCCGTGCCCAGCCGCTTCTCCCGTGGGTGGCCATGGAGTACACGCCGCCCCCCAAGCCGCAGCTCTCCTCCCGGGCCAACGCCTTCTCCATCGCAGCCCTCATGTCGAGTGGCAGCTCCAAGGACAAGGAGTCTTCCGAGAGCACCATCAAACCTCTGGGTGAGTGGGGACTGGGGCGGCCACTGGTGTCCGTGGGGCGCGGAGCTCCCTTCTCTACGTCCGTCCATCTGCCCACCCCTTTAAAGCCCCGCAGCCGGTTTCCTCCTTGCCCGCAGGTTTCCCCTTGCAGAAGTCAAAGCTCTGCCGCGAAACCCAGAGGAGCCTCTTCGTGTACTCACCGCCCTTCTTAGGCGAGGCTGTTTATAGCATGAACGGGCTCCTATAGCATAAACCGGCTCCGAAATTCCTCTAGCTTAAATCACTTCTGTCACTTACCCGGTTTTGCCATTCTTAGAACTACTCACACCCTGAGGTAGTTACACCTCCTTTCGTTGCCATCAAGCGAACCTCTTCATAGCTATAGCAAAGAAACCATGGTTTTGAAGCCATCTAAGAGAATGTCCGCTATCGTGCCCAGGCTTATAAGGGGTAGTAAAACTTGTACGTAGACCTGAAAATCCCCTCGGTCCGCAGCCGCTCGCTGTAGGCTCATACAGGCTGTTTTACTCTACAGCGTCCGGAAGGATTTTTCTAGTAATTCCTGACGATTTTCGGGAAGCGACTTCGCTTTTATTCACTCGCCTAGATTCAGATGCTCTAAGGCTTTAAAAACCGCTCATTATTGCCTTCTTCTCCTCCTGCCCCGAAATTCCTGCGGTCCTTGCATCTATCCCAGAGTTCGCAGGAAAATACTGCTACAAGAAAAAAAAAAAAAGTGTTAAGCTTCCAGGGCGCCAATGAAGAAGATAACCCTCGATGTTATAGGAATTCGGAGAAGGCAGCGCTCTCGGCGCCTGCTCCACCTCATCAACGGACTCGACAGCTTCACATAGTCCAGGGGTTCATTGTGAACTTTACTTTTTAGACTAGGCGATAACGTAGGCCGGGAATGTTGTAGCATTTCCCGTTTGATATATTCACATGGTCTTGTGTTAACCGTAGCTGCTCTTCTTCATTTACCTTCCTTTTTTTTTTTTTTCTGAAATAGCTCTTTCCATTAACTTTTCAATTACTTTTTAAACTCATTCCCCCACCCCGCCACTGAATTGGGAATCGAAGGGAAACGACTGCCCGGAGATTTGGCCGAAATCCCGCTGCAGATAGGCCGGGCTGCGGATCCGCGGCCGCGTCCCGCTGACGGGCCAGACCCCTGTGCCCTCCTCTCCTTCCCCTCAGAGGCCCTGAAGCCTCCCGGAGCTTGGGGAGGGGAGGGAAGAAGCTTCGGAGGGAGCTAACGCCGCACCCGCGGGGCCAGCGCCTCCGCGCAGGGTGCGCGGCCGCACGCAGCTCCCCTCCCCGGAGCCCGTTTCCCTAAGGGAGTGTGTTGAGCCTCAGCAATCCGGCTGAGAGGCAAGGGCAGAGCCGGCTTTCTGGGCGGGTGAGTTAGCGCTAGGAGCTCGCTTCCCCGCGGAGGAAGCGCGGCAGCGCTAAGGCTCCTTCCGAGTTACGGTCTCTGACAGCGGCGCAACTGAGGAGCAGCCGCCAGCGAGACCCTCAGAGCCGGGCGCTCCCGTTTGAATGAGAATTAGTGACTTTTCCATGGAAATCCTCGGCTGGCAACGAGGGGATCCCATCCTGACCCTCCGCGCCCGCGCAGCCGGCAGCAGCCGGGCGGGATGCGGCGGGGGCTGAGCCGCTCCCCGGCCTTTTCCCAAAGCTCATATCCGACAATCACCAGCTCTATCCTCAAATGATGAGCAGGCGCCTTAGAAACAGCGCGGCTGTGCGGGGTCAGAGGGGACAGCTGAACCAGAAACGCCTTTCAATTTAATTGTATTTTTACACAGTTTCTCTCAGCGGTCCCTAGTCCCGTCTTGACTGAATAGTGTCTCTCTTCTTCTCTTTCCCCCCACCCTGAAATCCTGCAGAACAATTCGTTGAGAAATCCTCTTGCGCCCAGCCTTTGAGTGACTTATCCAGCCTGGACCCTCACGGGGATTTTAGCACCAGTCCTTCATCCCTGTGCACCGAGCCCCTCATCCCCACCACCCCTATCATCCCGAGCGAGGAGATGGCTAAAATCTCCTGCAGCCTGGAGACCAAAGAGCTCTGGGATAAGTTTCATGAACTGGGTACCGAGATGATCATCACCAAGTCCGGGAGGTAAGGCTGGGCAGCCCCGGCATCCCTGCGGGCAGCCTCCGTACAGTGCCTTTGGGCAGAGGGAAATGAAGGGAAACTAAACATCCCCCCCCGGTTCTTATTCTGGGAGAGCAGCACGGATGGCTAAGGGTTGGTACAGACACGGGGAAACGCGGGGTGGTGGAGAACGAACTCGGCCAGGGCTTGTTTTGCTTCGGTTTTCTTTTCTCTCCGTTGCAAGAGAATCCCAGGCTTCCTCCTCCGTTTCTTCTGTAAAGCCTTTTGGATGAGTCCATCGCAGTCCGGAAGAGCCGAGTGGCTTGTCGGGTTTTGTAACCCGCAGAGTTACTCGTTATTAACGCAGTTCCTCGACGATTGTGTTTTTTACCAGCGTGTGTGTTAAAAGCACATACAAAATCTGCAATTTGAGGCTGAAGAATTGAAACTGCTTTAAAAGTTATTGGACTATGTCGGGTCGACCGCACAATCTCACAGTTAAAAATAGCGTCTTGTAGAAATGGACGTAAAGGAAGTTTTTAGGTTTTGAAAATTCCTCTCGGAAATAATCGTAAACGCACATCTAAGCTACGGGAGACACAGAACGGTAATGATTTCTGCACTATTTCCCTAACACTGTGTGGATCCCATTAAAAAAATCCACCTAAGGACTTATGTACCTTCGGTACAAGTATTTTCGGGAATCGTTCTGTACGTTTAACAGGCAAAAGGTACATTTTTCCTCTTTAATTTTTGCCATGGTTTTGCTTCCAAAAAATCGTTTTGCTTTCAAGTTGTTTTGTTTGGTCTTTTTTCTGCCCGTATTAGAGGTACACACGGGATTTAATTTCTACTATGCTGAAGCACAATCAATAGATGCTTTTTTTTTTTTTTTCCCCAGGTGGTTTAAATAGTATTCTTATTTTCAGAAGCTTTTTTATTTCTTTTCTCCATCACCTATTTATTTTCTGATTTGCCTTTATTTCAGGAGGATGTTCCCTACGATCAGGGTTTCCTTCTCGGGAGTGGATCCTGAAGCCAAGTATATTGTGTTAATGGATATAGTTCCTGTGGACAATAAAAGATACAGATATGCCTACCACAGGTCTTCCTGGCTAGTGGCTGGAAAAGCTGACCCTCCACTCCCTGCAAGGTTTGTAGATTTTACTGCTGGGATTCTTTTTATTTTCTTTACTTTTTCTTTATTGTTACTATTATTTTCTTCAAGAATATCCGGTGTTTATCTTTTCACACTGTTTGGAAACAGCACTCTAAGATTTTGAGTCTGTGCTCAACAACATTGATTGCAAAACACTGACCAATTTCTGTGATGCAGAATCGGGCCCCAAATCGCTGCTTGAGGTTTAGTTTATATTGAATGCTCCAACGCATGCAGGACTTCACTAAAGGCTCTTTTATTTTGTATGTATATACATGTGTGTGTATGTATATATATGTATATCTAAATGAAGTTTGCCTCAATTCAGATAAGAAAGCTTAAAAAAAAGTAATATATATCGATTTCTCTCTTGGCTTTGCCCCCCCCCCCATTTGCCCACCACTGTCAAGTACAAGTTGAAATACTCCATTGCAGTTCAGTGCTGTTTATGCTTGAATATTTATTGCTTATTTCTTGATAACACATTCAACATTTGCTAAACTATACTTTTATTCTTGATTTTAATTGTCTCTTAGGCAGCAGACAAAGTGTGGATCAGTTCTGCAGCACAGGGTTTGTTTGTGGTGGGTTTTTTTTTTTTTTTTTTTTGTTAAGGAATCCTGACATTTTTTTGAGAAACTATGGGAAAAAAAATCAATTAAATTCTCCCCATTTTCGATACAGAAACAAAATGCTATAGGCAATTCCTATAATAATTCTGTTAATGTAATGAATGACTGACCCCTTTGAGCATGGAGAAACTGAGGCTGCAGCACTAGGCTGTGCGGTGGGAGGGCACTTCAGAGTCCCACACTTCATCGTATTCAGCACAGCACTTCAGTACCTACTTAAGCCCCCAAGTCCCATAAGGCTGAAGCACATGTCCAACGGCTTTGCTGAGTCAGAGCCGGAGATATGGAAATAACCTGGATGCCTCTCTGGCTTCAAAGAACCTTTCTGTTGAGGGCTCAATGCAGGCACACGGATCTGCTCCAGGTGGCTTAGCCCGGGGTTAAGAACTTGCTTATTACAGAGGCAGAAATTAGAAGTGAAACACAAGAAATGGAAGTGGATTTTTTGGTGTCTGTGAGTATAGGGACCGAATCCTGCATGCCTCCCTCATATAAATAGTTTAGCTGGATTCTTGCTGACTGCTCATCTCTGGAAGGCGGCTCAGGGAAGCAAACAAACAAAAAGTGCATGCAGAGAAGCTGTGATTAAAGACGGCAACCTAGGAGTTATGTTGGTTCTGTTTTCATGGCCAAAAACTCCTTCTTGCAATGCGGTTAACGTCTGAGGGCTTCATTTGACGTATTGTAATAGGCACTGATCAAAACCCCAAGGAAAAAACACGGGTCCTGCTCCAAAGAAGTCGGCATCAAAAGGAAAAATGAAAGGAGGACAGAAATAGTTTTTAAGGCAGAGTTCTCCCCTTCTTAGTTTTTTGTTCATGTGCTTTCTGGGATACCTTTAAATAGATTGCTAATTCACATTGTATTTGGCATAGACTAGTTCAATAAGGAAATGCAAGAATATAAGACACTGATCCTTGGAATAAGTAGCAGCTGTCCTACTGAGTGTTTCAGAACCAGGGTCAAACCTTCTTGCAGTTTAATATTTATCATAATACTGTGGTAGCTCTTTGAGGTCCCCAATGGATCAGTGCCTCTGTGTGCAAAAGTGTACCTGTGCTGCTTCATTTTCAGGCTGTTTTGCCCCATGTGTAAATGCATCCCTCTCCTGTTCCATTTTCAGGATGCTTAGCCAAAAAGACCAGTGATCAGAGCAAAGGCACAGATTGCTTTTTCTTTGTATGAAGGGTACTTACATAGACACTTACACACTTTCTCCTCCTTATGTTTCTGTTCTGTGAGAAAAAAAGGGTGTCAAGAGGTTCAGACATTTGCATTACTTGTGCTTTTTCTGTTAATGCATCTTTTGAGGTGGGAGGCCTCTGTCTTGCTTGAACACATTAAAAGTCGTACTCCTCCCACCTTGAAACAGGCTTGGTCCTGCTCCAGTAATAGAACCCCTTAATGAAGTTAAGATTTCTTGTCCTCAGAACACACAGTTTTAGCTCTTCTTACTTGAGTGCTAGTGAGGGGGGTACATGTGCTTAGCGCCTGGTACCAAGGTGCGAACTCCCCCTGCTCATCCTCCCTGCCTTCATGTGTACAGGCACAAAGGCATCAGGGGAATTATTAAGGAGTCACATTGTGCATGTGTGTAAGACTTTGCAGGATCCAACCTGTTAGCTGTTTTGCTCTTTGCATTATGCAAATAACTTTCAATGCTAAAACAGCCCCCCCCCAAATTAATAAGTAATCTGTGATTCTGTTTGAAAGATTAGCCTTTCAGGGAACTTTTTATTTAAACCAGTTTTATCCCTGTCTTCCCGCTGTCAATGTTTAAGACAAGCTTACGTTGCAACAAACAAATAAAAATATTTTTTGGAGAGTCTTTTGTAAATCTTCAGAAGTGCTATTTGGGGATGGAACATCTATCTGATACTTTGCTCTCCTAAATTGCTAATACTGTGTGAAACATCAGTTTCATCCGTTTCAGCATGTACCTTTATTTGTTCTTCCTTTTTCACCTTCTTTCCTTCACTCAGAAGTTTTTGTTGGTTTGTTTTTTTACTGTATTTGGCTATGATCATATTTTTAATGAAGTTATGGTGTTTACATGCTTAGAGACCTTTAGGTAGGAAAACTTTAAAAGGTATCATACTTGAGACATTAAAGTCATTAAAAGTAGCATGCTTGGGGTGCGTAGGACCAGACAAACTGTTAAACTAAACAGGAGAGTGGTGTTTCATTCCAAGATACACCAGAAGGAAGCAGTACCCAAACTATATCATGACACATTATATGCTGTGGAGCAAATTCACGTCCAAATATGGCCCCTGAAGCCTTTGTGAACTGAAATGAGCAGCCCCTTGCATCTGGCCAGCCTTAGGCAGCGAAGCCTGCATGAGCTTCTGGGTGAGCCGTGTGTGCTGCACTGAAATGTGCACATTTATCTCTCTAGCCCATTTGCTTGTACACGCTCATAGTCCTGTTGATTAATTTTACTTCAAAGGGATATTCTAGTTTTCAACCCCCTTCTCCAAGGTGTACAAGCTCATGCTGTCAAAGTGTGTGGATAGGTGTAGTTCACCAGGTGGAATCACATGTTGCAGTGGCTTGTAGCAAGTCTGTAAAGCAAAGCAAGGTCTGTTAACACATTTATGCAGCCTGTCCTTCAGTGACTTTCCTATTGGTGCTCTGCTAACATCCAGGCACTTGGCTGTTTGAAAGCACTGCCAGGCATCAACTGCCTCTGGTGTGAAACAATTGTGCTCAGCTTTTAGACACACCAAGATCTTTATTCATTCCCCAGCGCATAGCTGAAATAGTTTGGCTTTTTGGTCCAATTAGCCAAACCTTGCTGAGCCTGATGCTCTGTGGTCACAATAAACATTATGAGCTATCCAGCCTTTCAAAATGAGGAGTCGGTCTGAACAAAACATGTATCTTAACGCTGGCTGAAAAGTTGCAGGGCATGTTTGAGACCTTATTTCTTTTGCCTTCTCTAATTCCTGGCTCCAAAGACTGAGATTTTCATAGGGTTTTCTTACAGGAAGGCAAAGTTATTTTTCATGAGAAGCAAAATTCTTTTGACAGAAAAGGATTCCAGGTTCTTGGGTTTTCAGATACACCATAATTTTTCATGAGCTTTGCAGTGTAATCAGTAAAGTCGATAGCAGTGTATGCTACAAATATTTTATTGCAACAGGAACCCAGGCTCAGCATCCCTCCTGTGGACACAGCTCTACCAGCCAAGCTGCGCTTTGGATCAATGTAAGGAAAACATCCTGCATATCCGAAGTGAGCTGTGCTGGTAAACTTCAGTTTCACTGTGTCTTGGGGATTCTGCTGGCAAAACCGGAGAGTGCAGGATCAAATCTCCTTCCTCTTTAAGCAACAGAGCTGTGCTCCCCAGAGTCTTTAGGACAGGCATTTCTTGATTAGGGATCAGTGCAGTCTATCAGAGAGTTACGCCCCACTGTTTAGTGGTTTTTCCATTCTCCTTACGCCTAAACCAGAATCGTAGCTCAACAACACTAAAAAAATGTTTATCTTTCTAACGCGGCGTCTCGGCGCTGCTACACCAACCTAATGGAAGAAATCCATGCCTGTGGCCAAAGACATCACCCAAAACAAGAGTCAGGCCCTCGCTGAGTGACAACCAACACCGACAGAAGCAGAACAGGTCTGGTTTGCACTAGCTAAAGGTGTTGTTCAGTGTCATAAAAGAACACTGAAGTTAAATAATTTTCTGCAATACATTATTCCTATAAAGTAATTTTTTATGAACAGCCTGGCACTGGTAATTAGTCTGCTCATGATGTATATAGCGTTGTATCTACATGTCTTCTGTGCTTCCCTCTCTTCTGCTTAATTTCCAAAATGGTGGATTGTTAATTACAGAGCTGCAATTAATTTTTCATGTCAGACCACTGTGCTGGACTGCAGCCTCCAACCTCTTATAAACAGACATCACCACAGCTAACGTATGATTGAGTGCAGGTTAAAATCATTATCACAGCTTAATGTTACATATAAAGAAAAATGCATTTTTATCTACATTCCCCCATTATCTCTCTAATGACACCATGTTTTTTTCTCTCAGAGCTGTAGTCATTGTTATTTTAAGTGCTTGTTAGTACAGCTGTGGGGAAAGACATGATCAATTTTTCATTTGGGAAAAGGCACAACAGCAAATGTTAGTTAATGTCTCCATTTTAGATAACCAGATAAAATAATAGGTATGGTTAGAGAGCAATCGAGCACTTGGACAGGGGATTCTTCATTATGTTGCAGTGAATTAAAACAACTTGAGGCATCTGCTTCGCTGCCTTTCATGAACGGTTGTTTTTCAGGCACTTATTAACTAGGGGGAGATTGAATCTTGTTTGTGTAGCAGCTCTGTATTACCCTAAGCTCTCGGGATATAAGCATCTGTGAAACCACTGCTTATCCTGAAAGCAAGATAGTACGGGCTGCTTATGAGGTGGTGCCCGTGGGCAAGCCAAGAGGTGAGAGTTTTCATGTCCCCCGTGGTTTCTAGGTTGTACGTGCACCCTGACTCCCCGTTCACAGGAGAGCAACTGCTGAAACAGATGGTGTCCTTCGAGAAAGTCAAGCTCACCAACAACGAGCTGGATCAGCATGGCCACGTGAGTAGCCCTCCTGGTGGGAAAGGGTAATGGGAGCAATTGGCTTCACAGCTTAAACATAGTGGGGTTTAATCTCTGTTGTTGAGGAACAGGTGACCAGAAATCAGGCTTCTTACCTGCCATAAGGTAGAGCTCAGGTCAATGCAAGCATTCAAGTTATGCTTCTATTGCTATCAGAGGTAGAACATCCACTGGGGACAAGCTCAGGGTAGAATTGAGCATCCAAGCAAGGGAGAGAAGGGAAGCAGGTGAGCTTTCTGTCATGCTTCTGCCTACGTTTTGCCATGACATGGCATGGCATATGCTCTGCCATGTGCACTGGCTAGCCAGCTCACATGCTTTTCCACATGTGCTTGGAAGCTCCCTCTCATTACAGGCAAGCTGTTAGGGTTTGGTCCATCAACAAGAGCTCTTTTACTTCCAGACTTCTCGTAGCATGGGCACAGTCAGCAGAAAATGCTGATGTGACACTAAAGCAACTGCTATTGAATTATAAAAATAAGCATGTCTCTGTTTCCCTTGAAATAACTGCAGGCTACCTGCAAGTCAAGGTACCTCAGGGTGGACTTGGGCCTCTAAAGGAGACAGGTCCCAGTTCTGTTTAGTACCAGTTTGCTGTCACAAGCCCTGACACTGAAAGTTGGTAAACAGGATGCAGAGCTGTTGGCCATGAGCTCCTACTGTGCTCCATCAGCAGGAACAACTCCTTTAGTTACCTGACTAAAGGTAGGTGGTAAGAAGAAGTGTTGTCTGTCCTGTCCCCTTCCAAAAAGTGCTTGTAAAGAGAAGGCCCAGCCTGGTACACCATCAAATTGCAAGTGAAGAGCTAAAAGTGTTGCCTCTGGGCTTGTCTGTTCCCCAGGGGAAGGCTGAAGGAGCAGGGGGATGGATTTGAAGGGTTTTTCCCTGAGAAGGAACACAAAGGCAGTGTTAGTAAACAAGGTGTCAGGAAGAGAGGAGTGATTTTGAACTCTGAAGCATGTGTAGGGGTAACTAGCTTGCCAAGCTGAATAATTGTGGCACACGCGTTATCAGAAATCCCTCCCCTAGTGTGGTATTTATTGCCTTTCTGGACTTGGTGAGATGGTGGCTGTTTGAACCGTTCTGTGCAAACACTTCTCACCCAAAAGAGAATTTTTACTCCTTTCAAGACCTAAGAATTGATCCAGGGCCATGATAATTCAAAATACATCCTGGAAACAACAATAACAACAACAACACATGTAGTTAACAAAATCCCAACAACGACCAAAAAACCTGACCAAAACCCCCACTGAAAACCCACAAAGCAAGCCCACAGAGATGCCTCTGTGAGGTCCTTTTGTAAAGATCTGTCTGTGAGTATATTTTTCTTGAATCTGTTTCCCACCATTCCCTTCCTGACTAGGGAAGAATGTATTTTTGTTTCCCTCTCTCTTTTATTTCATAATCTGTAGAAGGGCAAAGCTGAAGATTTGTGGGCTCTATCACTGAGCGATGATAGAGCAGTATACGTGCACATTTAAGAAGAAGCATTTTTCATCATAACAGGGGCCATGTGTGCCTCTTAATAAAGGGCTTGCAGCAGTATATTGCAAACTAGTTAGGAGCACTGCAGTTCCCAGAAGCCCAGACGAGTATAAAGAAAAAGTAGGTCTGAGAAGCTGTCGGGAACAGAGACATGTGACAGAGCAAGGAGATGTAATCATCTCAAATACAGGCGGTGGGAAAAAATGATCCATAGTGTTGGCGATGTGGCCTCCTGATTAACTTTCAAGGAAGCAGCAGAGGTGGATCCCATTCTTTACATGAAAGGTTTGGACAGCCAAACTCGATGGAAAGTTTTATATGTTCAGTTAAGAATAAGCCCCGAAGGCTTGATCCTGCGTTGAGGTGCGTGTGACAGGTGCCTTCATGTATTTTGTGGTGGTTTATGTTCCAGATTAGGGTGCCTAATTTCTGTGCTGCTTCACTGAAGATATGAAATTGCCATCATTGGATGCTCAGTAGAATTAAGGAAGAAATTAATTCTCTGGCGCCTTTAAGGACGGCTCGCTGTGTTTTGGTGTTTCTGAGCTCCCAAGTACTAAGAGAAGGGGAGAATTGAAATCCCTCCTGAAACATCTCCCTTCAGTTTGAAAGAGCCCCTCTTCACTGATGAGATCCTTTTTAACTGACCTGCTAAAATCTTAATTATGTTTGCTAAGGTGTGTTGGTTCCCGAGGAAGTCTGAATGACTTAAGAGACGCTTTTAATCGCTAGTTAGATAGAAAGAAACTGGATCCAACCTGATTCCAGCTTCTTCTAGTAGCTTTCTTACTTCATCCTCCAGAAGACAGTTTTGGTTGTGAAGGTAATTGTGGTGTTTTATTCACAGGGTGGCTCTTTTCCGGAAAAGGAATCTGAACAGAGGCATTTGTTTGTTCTAGCATTTGTTAGTTTTCTCTTCTTCCGAGACTTGTGGAGCTGGCAAGCATCTCTGCTTGTGTATCTTCAGTATGCATAACCCCATAGCTATGTACATATTCTCCTCAAGCATCAGGCAGAAGTTTTTATCTCTGTGTGCATGACATACAGCTTGCTCCATGGAAACACTTTCAGCTATCTTTGCCAGAGGAAGGAAATGGCTCCTGTCTCTGGATTTTTACAGCCAAGAGAGTAATTCCCATTTTTCGCTTGTGGAACATTTATGAACATGATTTTTTTTCCAGGTTCCTGGTGATGTTTTTCACACAGACTGCTGCTTTTAGGCCTTTTCGTTGTGCTTAGTCAGGGTTGCATCATTTATGGTTTACGGTGAGGTGAACCATGAGCGTATACATTATGAAAATTGCTTTTCTGGCATCCACGATAGCAAAACTCCAACACGTGAATGTTTGCAAAAGCAAACACAAAGGTGTGAACATGGCCAACAAGTAACTGTGAAAGCAGGAGCTTCAGAATAGCCACCAGGAGTTATGCCCAGGGTGTTTTTTGAGTCAACCTGGCAGAAGTGAGGAGTCTCCATACTTTTAGAAAGCAAAGTGCCTGGTAACACTCTTCATTGGTGAATATGGAAGCTGCATTCACAGCACAGTTCCTAAATTCAAAGCCACCTCAGGGATTTTGCAGCTGGCATCCAGATTGCCTCTGGTGACTCGTCTGGAGACAGTTTGAGCCAGATGCCTACAAACCTGCCTGACCCTAGAGTGAACGTATCCTGTAATGATGGATCCTGGTCATCTTCCCTGCTGCAGGCTGTCAGCACAAAGGCAGATGGGATGCTGGGGACCTGGGACCATGCTGTATTGCCAGTAAGCCTGTGCCAGGGGGGCTGCCTTAAGCATATATACACTTGATATTTCTCTCAGAGCACACTAGCCTGAGTATTGCAGAACTGGCATCAGCCTGGGCTTTGAGCCCACCCTTGCAGATTACTCTGTGAGAAGCACCCTGTGTACCTAACTCCTTCAGGCTGTTTTGATGGTCCTAACCTCAGAAGTTGCATGGATATTAAGGGGTATATTTGTGAGGTATCCTGCTGACTTTAGCATCCGTGAATACTGCAACATCTGCAGCCTGAGCGGGGATGCAGATGGAGCACTACCTACACAGACCCTCATGAAAAGGAAATAGTGACCTAACCCTTGGCCATGGGTCTTTCGTGACATCCTGGCTATATCTGGTACTTGCTTTGTACCTGAAAGACCTGACTTGTTTCTAGTGGGAATGCACAGTGTAGAGCATTGTGGCAGGGGATGTTATCCATATGCACATTTGGTTTTGGAAAACTTTCATACAAGATTACATGATCGTGTTTGAGAAATGGAGTTTCTTTATGACAATTCACATTCACAGAGGAGTGAAAGGAAAGGGCATGTGTGGGATCTGCTCTTGTCACAGTTTTTTCCTCCTTCCTTTCGGCTGCTGCTCAGATGTAATGCCTTAGGGTGGATAAAGCAGTAATGAAAGGTAATGGGAAGAGCCAAGCTCTGTGGACCAACCCCTCAATAAGCTCATCACCATACCACCCTTTAAAGTGTCTTTTCCAGCTGCTTAGAGCTGCCCAAATGACCAGGATGGTAAGACAAAATTGTACAAAGAGAAGGAAGAGTGCTAAGGATATTAAAGCCAAAGTCAATGGCAGTTTTGTGTGTGCATTTGGAAAAAGGTGAAGTGATGCAAGAAAGCAACTTAGGTGGTAAGAGCACATGCAACACTTTCAGGGCAATAAAAGTGCCCCCACAAAGTCACAGTACGAGTTTCAGCAATATTTGGCTGCAAAGGAAATGCTGATGGAAACTTTAGCCGTGGCAAATCTGTTCCTAAGTTCTCCCCTCCAATGCAACATGCAGCCTCTCCCATTGACTGAGTTAGCATGAAATACTGCACCCCTTCTGCTGTGTTTCAGCTGAAGTTAACGCTTCCTGAGGAATGCACATTAGCTATTCCAGATGTACAGATCTGACTGTAACGTCGTTATGGCCCCTGCAAAATAGAACCACCCACACCAGTGCCAATTTCGTCTTGTGACTGTGATTATATCCAAAACAAGGACTGGTGCAAGATGAGCTCTGTATTTAATTCTTATATTGTAATACTGTGGTTAGAGGCAGCCAAACAGGCCTCCAGCCAGTGGTAACTGAAGCAAGTGGGACTCTGGGTTTGACTCCAGTGAACGCTGACCTTGGTTAGCTGGTACATTAGGTTTAGAATTGTTTTGGGACCTCGTAAACAACTATTAACGAGAATAAAATGGCAAAACCTGGTCATTTTGGGGTTCTGTACTGGGTTTCCTCCTTTCTCTCATTTTTGGTAGTCTGTTTTTGGTAGTCTGCGGTGAAGAGCATCTACAGCGTAGTTGGCTTTAAAGATTTGCCAAAGTAAAAGGATCTGGGGTGTTTTATTTTGGTCATGTCTATGCTGCTGTTTTTTTTTTGATTGGGTTTTATTTTTTCCTGGGTTTTGGTTTGGGGATGTGTGTGTATTTTTTATATACATAAAACATACCAGGGATTCCTGGCTTTTTTCATTCTGCACCTGCACGTTTCTGCAAGTGTGGATTCTGAATCGTAAGTTTTCATGAGTAACATATTTTCCCTTGCAGCTGACACCTGCAAACCTGGGCACATGCTAGCAGTAACAAAGCCTGTATGTAAAACACCTCACCTGTAGGAACAGGTATTTATGCTTTAGGAAAATAAGTGCTCAGCAGTGGCGTAGGAGTGAAAGGAAAGCAGCTCCTGGGACGCCTGCTTTTCCACCTTCCTTTTCTGGAACTGCCCAAAAGGAGCTGGAGAGTTTCCTCTGAAAATCAGCCCCTGGCTAGCTGTATTTCAGAGATCTCCCCTGCAGTGTGAATTAGATCTTGTTTTCCCCCTGCATGCCTTTGAGGGTGCTGTTAACCTTCCTCTCAGGACAGTCCCTTGTCACTCTTTCTTGCAGATCATTCTGAACTCCATGCACAAGTACCAGCCAAGGGTGCATATTATTAAGAAGAAGGATCACACAGCTTCTCTGTTAAACCTGAAATCGGAGGAGTTCAGGACGTTTATCTTTCCAGAGACCGTTTTCACTGCTGTTACTGCCTACCAGAATCAATTGGTGAGTACATTTGCTAATTTCCACAGATTTAACTAAATCCCACCTTGCTGAGAACTCCCTTTTCCCCAATTTCCACTCCCCCTTTCCCTCTTTTTCCAGTTAGGAAAATTTCTATATAACCTACCTTTCCGTGCCAGGGTCTGTTGTGACTGTGCCGAATCTAATTCATATTCAGGCGTAATTCTTACGTAGATGGGTAGTACTACCAACTTCAAAGAGCCCTAAGGATTATTCATGGGAGTAAAGATGACATGAAAGAGGCTTTCATTTGTCTTCCCTTTTGCCTATACAAAGCTGTTTGCATATTATCATTTAGTCCTTTCCTAATTATAGCTCATTAAGGAACTGGTCTTATTTGCAAGGATCTTTGATGTCACAAGCTATCAGCTGAGAGATACTCTGGTTTGCACGGGATGATTTCATGGCCTTAAAAAGCTGACTAATTAAGATGTAAGGCTTAAACGTAAGGGAAATCACTCAGAGATATGCTTTTCAGAGGCTGCCCAGATTACATCCAGATGTTTGAATTTCAATATGCATGCCAGTGAATAATATATACAAAATGGAGGAGATCATAACAATGGATTGCTAATGAGTAATTTTAGGAAGTATATAAACAGAGAGCAGAGGCTCTGCTTGACAGTGGATAGGGCTTTAATAATTAAGTCAGTGGAAATATGTTGCTGGCTTCACCGCAATTTGGAATGTGCTTTAAGTGCTTAGTGACTATGTCACTTAATGAAAAAATAAATCTTTCCCTCCTTAATTCCCCCAAGCTAAGAAAAATACAAGTACTGTCCCAACATGGAGGCAGGAGTATCCCAGAGTCAGCGTACCTGCTGGGCTATTTAATGAAGCCAAAGTAATTAATTTCTAAATGCAGTGAATAAAATGCAACTACTGCACAGGGGCAGAAGAAGCTCTGAAGATAATTGTGTAGTATTAAGTCAGTCCTTGAGACAGATCCCACATCCTACTTCAAGGCTTTAATATCTGAATGTATTGATTTTAAACTGAGGTTTGTATCTAAATCCTGCAGAAAATGCATTCAGGACCTGACAATCTCAAGAATACAATGTTTGGACAGACGGAGTGATTTTTCCATGTAACTTTCTTCAGAAACCAGAAAAATAGTTACAGGCACAAAACCAGCTAAACCTGAAATCCATTTCTGTAGGATGGATTTGTGTTTACGGGCACTATTTACACCAGAGATGTTTCTAAACTAACCTCCCCAAAGCACATACGTTGAGTCCTGGAAGACTTCTCAATGGAACATCTCCAGAACCCCTAGAGGTTGATGCTGTCTTTTTATTTATGACCGATGAAAACTGAGCCTTTTTTCATTTTTGCCATTTCTTTCAGAACTGTTTTAAGGAGGGATTGATTACATTTCTGGAGGTTATTAGATAAAAGCTAAATAACATTACACTTTCAACAAACTATCTCATAATTTAAGATTTAAAGGGCATGCATTTATTTAAGCAGTCAAACCACTGCCACAGAGTTGAATTGTAGGTCAGATTTAATTTTAAAATGCTTCCTAGCAGATGTGCTCTAGTTGTTTGTGAGACAGTCTCTCAGGAAAAATATGGCCATAAATGATTGTGAGTCTCATCTGGCACCGGTGTACACAAAAAGTTTCTCTTGTGATGTCATACCAAATCTTTAATATCAGAAAATATAAGTTTGATTGGTGAAAATATGCTCAGGAGATGAATAGATGTCCTTATTATCCTGCAGCACAGTTGGCTTGGTGTGTTGGTGATCTAAGTCAATGGAACTAGTTAGAACATGTCTCTTTTCAAGGTAGTTTTTAGGATGCTGCCGTAAAAACGTTCACTGTATGTGAGGCACTAACTTTTTTGCAAAATCACTGTGAGTCAAGGGCTAACTTGCCGTGTTGTGACAAGGCTGGTGCTCAGGGAGCTTTCCATTGGTTGTACCTCATGGTTGTACCATCACGAGACGGGCTCAAACTCTCAGCCAGCACTGAGGTCCCATGCTGTTTGACCAGCTATAGGAACAACTGGTGAGCTGCAGCAGCTCCTGCCTGGCACTTCAAAGCAAGGACCTTCCCCAGAGAGCCTGGGAGACCTGTATGAGCCCAAGATGCCAAGCAGGGAAGGTAGCAGCCCAGGGGTGAAAGGACTTGCCCAGGGTAACAGCCACTCAACGCATTGTTCATACACTGCAGACCAGCACTTAAATACTCATGTTTTGCCTTTGTAAGCCATTCCCTCCCTCTGTATTTCCCTCCCAGAAGATCTTTTTCTCATAATGAAAAGCTGGGCTCAGTTGTCCTTTTTAACTATTTTTACTAATTTATTTTTCTTTAATTTGGAGGAGAACCCACCCCATTTTGAAATACTGTTGTTTGAGAGGATTTGATTGTTTGAGGATTTGGAGAAGATCCCTTTTCTTGCCGAGTCTCAAGGGACAGCTATTAAAAATGAGGTTGTGGCCTCTTCAATACAGGCTTTTTTGAGGAAAGCCAGGCGAACATAGCCACTCAATATGAAGTGCTGAGAGCTGTTATTTCCGTGAGTTTCATCTAGAGTTGGTGGCATTCACTGCCTGGCAGGACAAGTCCTGTGTTGTCCCTTGTCAAGCTCTAACATTTATGGTTTTATTTTGAATTCTTTCAAGAAGTATGGCTGGAAAATCTGAATGTTACAATGATGTCTAGGGTTTTATCCACCAAATCTCATCTGGTTGCACAGTCAGAACATTTCACAAAGGTAGTGGTGTATTTTCTTCCTGCTCCCATAAAACCACAGTTGCAGACATCACCTACGGCTGAAAAGTTTCACTGCAAATGCAAGGTGAGCCCTGATGCTCTTGGGCAAAGGGTCTTGAGCACAGTGGAAAGGATGACAGGATGCACTGGGCAGGTTTGTAGCTGCTTTCTAAAGAAGGGATGAGAGTTTTGGTTGTGTGATCTCTGACTGATGGTTTTAATGGGGTTACTCCTTTAACCCAGGTTCCATCAATTTAAATCTGAGTTCTCCCCACATTTTTCTTCCCTCATTAGCCTCTTTCCGTAGCTAAACTGCCCTAGTGTGGTGGCTGGTAGGTTTGGCTGAAAACATTAGCTCCTAGTTTGGGCTCAAATGAGTTGATGTGCAGCTCCACCAATGAGGCTCAGATGTTAGCAGGGTGCTCTGTTGCTCATGGAAAAGACAGCCTGATTCATCCGCTTCAAGTATTTGGAAACAGTGATGCTGTATACATGGGTGGGTTCCTCCTGCTCTGGGTAACATGACAGCTGAGACCACTGTGCCCTTTGGTCTTTCCATTGCCATATGTGTAATACACCCTGGTTTGCCCCTGCCAGCTTTGCAGCATTTCAGGAGTAGCTAGCGCATATGAACACACACAAGGAGCATGGATAAAATTAGCAGTGAAGTCAGGAGGATGGATCGGTTAACACTTTGTACGCTACAATACCTTAACGCTATATTCATGTTGCGTTGCTCTTTTCTGTGTTCCCAGATAACCAAGTTGAAAATTGACAGCAACCCTTTTGCTAAAGGATTCCGGGACTCTTCCAGACTCACTGATATCGAGAGGTAATGGGGACTTTCTGTTTACTTTCCATGCAGATAAGATAAAGAGAAGAGAGAGTTTGTAGGAAAAGCATCCTTTCAACTCCTGAGAAGCTGTGCATTTTAATGTTATCTTGTTGCATGCAATAAGCCTCCTCCACCTCCTTTAAAAATACTTATAAACTTTATGAAGAAAGAGCTGGTTTGAGTTTTGACATCTGTTCCAGTTGGGGCTAATATATTCATCTTCCTGAGGGGACTTCTTGAAGGGGGTGGGGGAAAGGGTCAGTTTTACAACTTCAGAATGAAAAGCTTTTTTCTTATCGTGCCATTTAACCCTACTGAGGGCTGTGAACTGGGTCAATGGGAAACAAGGGTAGTGGTCCTGTGAAAAACATCTTTATAGCTCCCCGCTGCTCCACACAGTGGAAAAGAGAGGGGAGCTTCCCAAAATACACTTCAGCAGTTCCAGACACTGAAGTCAGCAATTATTGCTATCAGGATGAATCCCATAACTCCCACTCTGATGACAAAGATGCCATTTTTGTTTCACCAAAATTGCACTGCAGGCTGCATCAGGGGAAAGCCTTATCTGGAAACTGTTGAGTCTTGTGTGTGTGCAGTTCATTATAAGCAAATGCTGCCATAGGGAAAGAAGCATTAACCCACAGTTGAGTAGGAAATTAACTTCAATCTCTTGGTAGCTCTCCAGCACATCACATTTTTACGATACCGTGTCAAACAGTTTGGCAAATGAAGCAAATTAAGCTGCCTGTGTCCTTCAGTCTGGAAGGGAACTTGATGGAGATGGATACAGCACATCCAAATTTCCCTGTAAGCACACAGTCATGAAAGAAAGTTTGGAGAGGCCAAAACCCTCCAGGCTCCTATGTCATCTGGGGATATCCAGATGTATCTGTGAATCATCTTTTGCAGGTGCACATAGGGGACAAACTGCTCAATGAAGTCATATCCATACAGCTAGGGAAAGTCTTTACAGCACTGCAAAAGTACCTCAATCTAAGCAGCAACATTGATGGGAGATAGTGGTATATTTTATACCTTGCCAGTGACAGGATCATTAGTGATATGTTGAGTAATTGGCTAAAGAAGAGTAATTTTACACAGCACTCTTGCAAAGTTGTTAAGAATTGCTTCCTAATTGAAAGCCTTTGTTGAAATTGGAAAAAGAACCAAACCAGATTCGATTAAAATAGCACAGCTTGCTGTACAAAGTACTAAGGTAAAGAACACCCAAAGCTCAGGTTTGTGTGCAATAAATAGTCAATAAAAGACCTGTAGGAAGAGCAGATACTTTGATTTTTCACACTTCAGTTTCCTTGTTTTACAGGCAGGCAACACCTAATGACACAGCTTTGGAAGGGCTGAGTGAGTCTGAATAGATAAGCTGGGAGAAAAACTTAAGTTACCTCTGTGCAGATGAACAGACTATCGTGGTGCTGGATATGAAGGGAATTTTTCCAGAGGACATCTTATTATAACAGCACATGGCATGGAGTCAGAAATGCTGAACATAAACCACAGTGCCCTTTTGTTTATTGATAAGTGTAAGAATAGAGCCTGAGACAGGCAGGCTAGCCCAGGCACCGACGTTGCCTCGAAAGATAAGGGAGCCACATGCGAAACCTACAATAAATACAAGAAACAGAATGTAGAAAGTATTTAAATGATATTAAAGCTCTGTATTTAAGAGTCTAAGTGTAGTTAAGGACTTATTTTGACTTAAATTGGAAAGTTTATCACTCATTAGGGAACGGTATTTAAAAATAACCCCAGAAACTGCTGCACAACAGATCAAGTAATGAGATAGTCATAGTGTAACACACAAGAGGCCTGGTAAGAAACTCTTTGAGAATTTCCTAAGTTATGTGATATGCTTCAGAAATACCAAGGGCTTTATTCAGTTCCAGCATTAAAATATCCAGGCAGATGAGAATGCCATTCTTTTAAGTGCTCACTGGCTCCATAGACTTCATGTTAGTGCCAGCAAAATTGCTAAAGGAATCTGATAAAAAGCGCAAGGAAAAGCAAAGTGAGATATTTCATATGGTATGACAGTAAGACAAGTAACTAGGGTAGATTTCAGATTAGACCTTAGGCAGCTCCTGTGAGGATGATGAGGCGCTGGCACAGAGAAACTGTGGCTGCCCCATCCCTGGCAGTGTTCAAGGCCAGGTTGAACAGGGCTTGGAGCAACCTGCTCTAGTGGAAGGTGTCCCTGCCTGTGGTAGGGGGTTGGAATTGGTCCTTTCCAATTCAAACCAGTCTGTGATTCCGTATGACAACCGGAAGAATTTCTCACTTAATATCCATTGTGACATGCATTACAAGATGTAGGTGATACATGGAATAGTATAGCATGACTCTTTCTTGGTCTAGTCAGAAACTTAGCTATTTCTAGAAGATTACAGAGAAAAATCTTTATTTTCTAGGAAAAAGGCTATGCAAGCCAAAGACACATTAGTACAGCTCTTGAAAACTGAACAGTTACTTTGAAGCTGTGAAAATTACTTGCATGCACTGCTTCTGAAGCACGCGCATGCATAATCCACACAGTGATCCTAATGGTCTCCTGTAAAGCATCCTGTGATGTTAGGGCCAGAGAGCACTCATTTATCACGAGTTCCAGCTTTTCTGAATGACCTAAGTAGTGTGAAAGTGTACAGAGCTTTGTATTTCATTTCCAGGTATTTAAGCCTGCTTTTTCCTAAACAGCCTTTGGGGAGGGAAACAAATCAGATCAATTGATCTTTAGAGACCTAAAGAAATTAAATTAGTCTGGAGTCAGTTACTGCACTAAACCATCCAGTAATTGGATTGCTCCTTGTAACTGATTGAAAACAGCCTCTATCTGTAACAATATAGGTAGCTTTTCTTTATAGTAGATCTGAGAGAAAAACACATCTTTTTATGACATGATGACAGAAATTGCACTTTTTTAACCTAATTGAATATGATTTTATAAATATGTGACTTTAACGACTTCAGGCTTCCCATTCTAGATTTACGATCCTTAAGTAGGAAACCCAAGCTGAAAATGCATTTAGGATTAAATTTGTTTGCATTGTATGTGTTGGAGTTAAAATAATATATGTAAAGATAGTGAAATTCACAAAATGGTAGAGGAGGTAGCAACATCAAAGGAGCTGAAATGCTTCTATTTTGTTTTGTTCCTGGCTATATACCTTACAATGGTTTCTTTGTACTCATAGCTATATATGCAAAGCTTTTAACCATTGAAAACATCTTTGGTAAGTTTGGTATATATCAGATTTTCAGTAGGATGTGAAATTCCTTCCATAATCAAGTCTTTCCATACATTACTTGTGGTAATCTATTTATGGCAATGGGGCAGACTTTATCTGGGGCTACTGTGATTTAGATAAGTAGCTGATTCACCTTTTGATCTTTTCACATGGTATTTACATTTCCTCTATTACAAAAAGGCTCTCACTGTGGTTGTTATTGGAAAAACTGAGCATTTAGCAGCAATTGTCAGAATGTGAAGCCTATCATACGCTGGTGTTGACTATTGGATGCTAAATGCAATATTGTGGGTGAGTGCGATCTTTTTTAATGGTAGCCTTTGTTAAAAAGATTAACATAGGTGTTATAATGAGCAATTCACCTTGGAGATGAGTTTTAAGGGAATATCTTTATGCTTCTGCTTAAGAAAGGACTGCCAAAGCCATAAAAGGATGCAAAATCAGAACCCAATGGGTTACTTTCTATCTCAAGCCTGAACTTATCTTTTGAGCTGTTGTGAAGAATTAGCCTTTTAAAAATAAATAGATAAATAAAACCATTGTGATTTAATGTCATGCAAACAATCCAGGGAAAAAGGTGAACACACAAAGAGCGTGAGTGAACAGAACTACTGAATTGTAAAATAATGATCAAACAAGAACCGACAGATCACAAACATGCTCTCGTGAGACCTCATCTGGAATATTGTGTGCAGTTCTGGTGTTCTCAACATAAAAAGGACATGGAACTGTTGGAATAAGTCCAGGTAAGGGCCACGAGGATGATCAGGGGACTGGAGCACCTCCTGTATGAAGACAGGCTGAGAAAGTTGGGGCTGTTCAGCCTGGAGAAGAGAAGGCTGCGTGGAGACCTCATAGCAGCCTTCCAGTATCTGAAGGGGGGCTATAGGGATGCTGGAGAGGGACTCTTCATTAGGGACTGTACTGACAGGACAAGGGGTAACGGGTTAGAACTTAAACAGGGGAAGTTTAGATTGGATATGAGGAGGAAATTCTTTCCTGTTAGGGTGGTGAGGCACTGGAATAGGTTGCCCAGGGAGGTTGTGAATGCTTCATCGCTGGCAGTGTTCAAGACCAGGTTGGACGAGGCCTTGGGTGATATGATTTAGCGTGAGGTGTCCCTGCCCATGGCAGGGGGGTTGGAACTAGATGACCTTAAGGTCCTTTTCAACCCTAAAGATTCTATGATTCTATGACTCTATGATCTGAGCATTGCTTCTGTTTGATCCAGTATGTGATAGGCAAGTCAGGGTGTGGACTTGCAACTATAGAGAGCTAAGTGAGTATACCCAACTGCACAAGACCAATAATACTTCTGGGAGTAGATACATACTTCAAGAGGCAATGTAGACACCTAAGTAATTTTTAGGCAGAAAAAGGAGGGATTGGGGGATGAAGAAGTAAGAGAGCTGCATCCCAGCTGGATTTGCATGGTAATCAGGTTCTGAATTCTCCCCTGAGGAACTTCATGTCTGAGATGTGGAAATACATTGTACTGGTTTACAAGGCTGTAAGTGAAACCAATGTTAATATCCAGATATGGGCATTGCCCTGCTGAAGTAACTCTCAAAGCCGTGTGCTTAATGATGCGCTGTCCACAGTGGTCTCCTCTTCCATCCTCTCTCTGAGCTGCCTTCCTCTCCATTCCCATTGCATACTGCTGGTCTAGAACAAGTTCCCTGACTCTTAAAAGCCCCCTACCAACAGCCAGAAATACTTACTCTCTACGACCTACTC